TTCTTTTCATTAAACTAGACATACCCAGTTCCTGCAACAGTTCTTCATATATTTTAGCCTCCAGTCCCCTAATCATCCTGGTCGCTCTTCTCTGCCCTTTTTCTAGAATCTCAACATCTTTTTTATAGTGTGGTGACCAAAACTGGATGCAGTACTCTAGGTGTGGCCTTACTAGGGCTTTACAGAGTGCTATTAGTGCCTCACGTGATCTTGATTGTATACCAAAATAACAAATGGCTTGTCTAGCAATAATCATTGAACTGTGTGGCTCTTACTCCACGCTGACTTGTTCTCAAATTAGGGACGTACTGCAATTCAGCCAGCGCCTGCTTCGTGGCGTCCGACGGGAAGAGCTTGAGGCTGTATCAAGCTGTGGTCGATGCTCGGAAGCTTCTCGATGAACTCAGTGACCCCGGCGCTTCGGTAAGTTTCACGGGATGGGTTGATTGGGGATGACTTGACGTTGACCCTCTAGTCCTGGGATGGCGAACCTATGGCACGTCTACCACAGGGTGGCACACAGAGCCCTCTCTGTGGGCATGTGTGCTGTCACCAGCTGTTCTTCTGGCGCATGCTGGCCAACTGGTCTTTGGGTTTCCAGCACTCCATACACATGTGCGCACGATCCAGTTTGAGCCCTTGGTGGCATGCACACATGTTCCGGTTTGGGTACGGAAGTGAGTCGGGCCCAATTTTTTGCAAACATTTTTTTAGCCACGAGTGTTAAGCGAATCACCACAGTTGTGAAGGCAGGTCATGATCATTTGGCAAATCCTGCTTTCTCCCACTGACCGCTTGCCGGAAGCCAGCGGAGAAGGTCACAAATGGGGGGGGAGGCATGTGGTCCCAGCATCCTGCAACCCTCATCAATAAATGCTGGTTGCCAAGCACCTAATTTGGATCGCATGGCTATGAGGCTGCTGCAACATCGTAAATGTGAGGATGGGTTTTAAGTCACCTTTCTCAATGTTGTAACTTCAAATGGTCGTTCATGTTGTGGCCAGCCAGCGGAGCTGGCAGCAGAGTCGGACAGTGAGGAGGTTGGGGAGGAACCTGGGCCAGTCCTGGAGTCTGAGGAAGGCT